TAAATGATATTACGCTCTACTAGTTTCAAACTAGTTGTATTCCTCAATGTATATGATAATACAGCTGGAACAAGTGCAAGCTTGATTCTATGCTCCTATTAACAGCAAAGAGTTCGAAATAAAAAAAAAACCAACAATAAACACTGGCAGAACCGAATAAAGGATCATCCGCAATTTAAAAAAAAATAGGTATACCTCACAAACGAAAAATACATGGTTCCATTCGTTTAATTCACAGATATTGAGTGAACAACATTTTAATTCAGCGAAAATGAACTCTATTTGTAATATCTTCATGGAATTTTCTCTGAGTTTCGTCTAACTAATTGAAATCTGAGAATCTTTAGGGTACACCGACTGAACGCCCACTCGTCCTTTGACGGAAACACACTTAATGAGCGTCGGGAAATTGAAAATTGTAACATTCAACATTATACGTGCTTGGATGATGACAATATTGAATTGGACATTTTCAAACGACATTTTATTAAATCTCTAATTAGAAGAGACATAATTAGCCTCCAACATAAGCCTACGATTCTTATACCTAATTTCCCATTAACATCCATGCAAAAATGCACTTTACACTCTTTATAATTAACACTGAATCTTGAGTAATCCGTGCCGCAATCGCGTTTCTGTTATCCATCTATTAGAACATTGCACTTGAATGAAGTTATTTCAATGTCAAGATTGACTGCAGCTATTTTTAGTTTTACAATAAGGATAAATTTATTGCCACAACGTAATAGTAACCTTTATTATACTAAAAATAATTTGAAGAGCATAAATAACATTAAAACAAACACTAAGAAAAAATGGCTTTAGTATTCTGCAAGAAGTGGCCGAGATTGTTCGCGTTACGCAACAACTCGTGACTCTTATTACAAGTGTCACAATCAATAAACGTTATATGTCAACCTGAAACCACCGAAGTAAAGTGAACCATCCCTGTATATAAATAAAGTCACATATGCTGTAACAGTAGACGAGCTCGTATTCTAGTCGGGTAGCTACTAACATGCTTTTTCCTAGTCTGGTTTCAAATTATAATTTTATTAGAGCCTTAACGTTTCATTGATCCTTTTCATTAACTATTACATTGAGTGTCTTGTTAACTTGACGTGGTAAGTAAATATGAGGCCACGGCGAGTATGTAATGCTATTGCAAAATCTGTTTATTCTACATTATATTTATTATTGTTATAGTTTTCTTTAATAACATTTTCTCTATCTTTAATTTGAGTATTTATATCATTATCAATTGAAGATTTATCTTAGTTTCAACTGAGCCAGGTATGAAGTGGTTTTTATCATATTTGTCTTTTTTTGGGCATGAACTACTGTTTTTTCCTTCTTTATTTATTTTCTTGAACCATGTGATAAAGTTAAATATGATATCTACTAACAATATTGGCAAACCGGTATGTGTTAGAATAGTTATCTGGCGGATCTCTATCAAAGAATTATCTTTGATTTTTTTCCAAGACTAGCAGGTGATAGCGAAAACAAATAATAGACAAAGATCTGTGAAACAAATAAGAATAAGAATACTGGTATTTACTCAGTAGTAGAGTTCAGTAATAAAATGAACAATATTAATGAAGAAAAAACAAAAAAGACAGTTGAACACGCACGCCGAGAACCCACAAGCGGACCGCTGGCGCATACCCGCACATTAGCAAAAAACGTGTTCGTACACACACATACAGAAGCAAAAACTTCGCAGATGTGCTCACACGCATCGTTGTCGAGCAAAAACCGACCGGCATGTCTTGATCTTGTGTTGGAGCAGTTCCACCCGCTAGCTTTATATCTCTACACATCTCATTCTTTCATTCGATACTTTTTCGAATATTATCCTCCTTCTCTAACCTTTAACCGTTTTCTTCTCCCATCAAATCATGATTAAATTCAACTCCTATCCGTCACAGAAATTCATGTTTAATTTGTTTTTATTCATTTGAAACATTCACTTCCATTTCAGTATAATCTTAGACTAAGATACCACTGCTTTCAGATTTAATTTGTTCAAAATGATTCTATAAGTCCAACTTTTGTAATCCATCTTCCGATAAAGTCTTCAGTGCTGTAAAATGTTTGAGAAGATAAAAATCTTTGCTTTCTATCTCCCGACCGGTGGAGATTTTTCTGCTCGATTTTATTTAATATAATTTCACTCTTTTTATTCTATTCAACACCTGTGCAATTAAATCTTTATTATCCCTAAGCTGAGCTGTCGTAGTGGTAACTAGTTTTTAATTACATTTTAAGTACACATCTACTTATACAAAAGAGCTCTCGAGACATAACTCGGCATCGTCGCCCATTATTTGAATGTCAGTACTCGGTGTAATGCTGTCGTCATCATAATAAACATGTAGAACAGGCGACATAGATATCGTTACAATAATTACGATTTTATCCATAAGTGTATCATTCAATTAATATTATTTGCGATTAAAATTATGTTATACTGCATCTTAGACTTTTCTACAAAATTGTTTAGACTTTCCGCCTTTGATGGAAATATTTGTCATGTCTTAAACAGCTTTTTAATAATTTAGCATGATTAAAATCATTGAATCGTATCTATTAAATTATTATTGTCTATAACAATTAAAACATGTGTCGCCATTGTTGGTTTAAAAACACACGGATTAAGTGTCTAACACTTGTTTTTTTTTTTATTTCAACGCACATAAGTGAAACCTGTTTATGGATTTATGTAAAATGTCAAACATGAAGGTCGATAGTGCGAAGAACCGACGACGAAACCCAAGACTTCCGACACAATGTAACGCTAATGTTATCATTGAAAAAACAACTTTTGGTAGAGACGATTTTAAAATGAATGATATTCAAACTTAACATGTTAATAAATTCGGAAACACTTCAACTATTTAGTACTATCAAATAACAATAAAAAAACAAAAAAACGCCTGCGAAATGTAAGTACAATGTACATGTAATTTAAAAAATCTGCATTGTCCAACAACAGGCTAACTATTTGAATTTAAATTGAAACCAAAAGCAATTATTATATAATTTAAATAAAACTACGTGTAGAATTGTTTTAATATTGTTTCAATTCTTTAAGTAAATTAACATAAAACTGTAGTGCATTCACCAGTTGGAGTCTGAGAGTTGTAGGGCAGGTCATGGCTGAATGCGTAAGCACAAACGGATGTGCAAACGATAACATTATCACTATTCCACAAGTCTGTTTGCAGCAGAAAGAGCCAGTTGAGAGAAACAAATATTTGATCACCACTATCTTCTCTTGCATTGCATATCTGATGCAAAGTACCTTGCTTTACTGCAAGCCTTAGTACAGCGTAATATTTGTACTTTATTTTTTTACTAAACAGTTGTCTTTGTGTACCCTTGTCATAAGTTCTACGTTCAATTGTCATGTTTGTCTGGAGTGTAGTGTCTGGCCACTACTTCAAGTACCAGGCTAGCAGCGGATCGTGGCGGTGTCACGTTACGCGGTGGCTGTTGACACCAGCGCCTGATTAATATTTATGATACGGCTGAGCATCTCGCATGGCCGGTTCGCTCACTCGATGCGAATTATCTTCATCCTACTCGCACATATACGCAGTTCTTATACGCTAGACAGAACACGAACATATAGTACATACATATGGCAACTGCTCTTTCAACATTCGAATATGCGTAAGTGCGAATGAGAATCCCAAATCTTCTTAATTTTTGTTAAGTTTCGTTTTTGCTACCAGTTTTTTTCAAATTAAACGTGTTTTGGCCTTGGTTCGGCACGGTGGAGTCTCGGTAAACATTTGAACAAGTTTTGTTTTAAATATTTCACGCATATTTACGTATCTGATTCAAATAGAATTCTTACAAGAACTTTTCAAACAATAATAAAAGCTAGCAGTTTGTTTGTTGAACTTAACCTTTTTGGTGGAAACGTAAATCACTTGATCGGTGTCAGGCCTACTGACCATACGATTGCAAATCGAAAGAAGTGAGTATGTGGAACGAGGCGTGGGACCAACGCCTCGAACCTGACCGTATCGAGGTATCTCAACCGGACAGACTCGACTCGGCTACCATTATAAAAAAAATGCAACAGCTATATGGGAAAACCGTGTTGTAGAAATTACATCCATTTAGAAAAGGGAACACTTGTAGCATGAAGTTTGTTGCGGCTGATAAATTAAACACTATGCGACAATTTCTTGAATACTTCCATTTAACTTAAGCGGATTGATATTCATTTGAATTAATCATTGGACCGTTTCATTAGTCACTTAAACAGTCTTGCACGTCGTTAATTGAAACGCATCCAAATTACTAGCTTGATCCCCTTTGCTTTATCAGTCTCGATGACGGCAATCAATGTCATTTGCTTATTTGTTGTTTCATTCGTTTAATTTGCATACTTGCCTTTACAATGAGATCAGCATGTTGAAAATCATTAAATGTAACAGTTGACAATTCATATTAAAGATATTTTCTCAGTGTATTTCCTGCACGAATCTCTCACATTAACAGAATTATCATTGTGTTTGCGACACCATTATCGTTGTTTGTCTGGACATTTTCCGTGAGCTCGCGCGCTTCCAGCGCCGGCCGGCGTTCGCGAGTCTCCGTTTCAAGGTCACGTTATCGTGCTATCGCCAGCCCTGAACCAATCCAAGGTTAACAGACGAATATCCACTTTTGAATGTATACTGCGGGTCTAGACAATCAATCGGTCACAATTTTTAAAATCATCGACATCAAAACGTCAGTGGCACGTCCGTCTTGCAGGAACTCGGCAATCTCGACCGTCGCCGTCGCGCGCCGAGTCTTTATTGTTAATTTGCGAACGCTAGTGGAGCACGGCCCGGACGCGTACTCTCGCTTTTAAGTAGCAATACCGCAATATAGTCTCAAATCAAATTAGCTGCGTGTTTACATTTTATAAATAGAGCGCGTTCACGTGGCGCCGAAGCGAGATAAGCGTCCGTCGACTCGCCGACATCACTCACCGTGCGCTGTTAACATCCTCCGCGGGGTGGCACAGGGTCCTCTGTCACACTGACACTCGTGCGGGATTTAAAGCACTCACAAACGGCGCACTAAGTTGAGCGGCACACGCGAGGACTGCACGGCGCGACACCCACAACTAGAATGCGGGTGAGACGGATCGTCGCGGGGCGCGGGGGGAGACCGGCAGCGACACACGGCTCATACGAAGGCGCGGCGATGAGGACTGCGGCCGAGCAAGAGCGCGCTCCCCCCCCATTGGTTGAAAATGACGTGACGTCACGCGAAGTGTCCAATGGCGACAATGCGCGTAGTTCTTACCGGCGGCCGTTAATGGCGCTAGTGTCGAGGAAGTCGCCCGCCCTACAGAGCTTTCTTCAGCTAGGGCGTGTGCTTTTGCGGGCGGCTAGCACGGAAAGAAATCACGGCAGCATGAATTATGTATTATTATAATTTATTTGGTATCCTCAACTGATCCGAATAATAATTATTATTTATAGTCGTAACCTTATCGTTTATAAAAACGTTTCAGGACTTGATGCCATTATTCAAATAAGATCCGGTATTGAGTAGATACTAAAGAAGGTTCACACAGATGAGCGCTAAAAAATTACTAAAATGATAGAAAGATTGTCTTGGGTAATATAAGTATTATAGTAAATATTGTATAAGTAGTAGATCCGGTGAGATATTGATATAAGGTATAATAAAATCGATTATTGAACAAACTGCTTTGTATATACCTGCTTATGTTTTTGTTTAGAGCTCAAATTACAAAGTTTAGCTTGCTAGACAAATGAAAGTTTCAGTATCTCTATCTTAACAAGCGAAATATTTATATTTGCCGAACTAACAAACAATTTGTTGAACAAGAACATGAACTTTGTAAATACAAGACTGTTTAAATGTTGAATGGATTTTGGTTTAGCACAAATTTTTGAATGGGTAAAGTTGTTGAAAATCATTATTTAGCTTAGGGACTTTCGTTTTGTTTGAATTGTTTATTTTACATGTGACGACGTTTCTAGTTTGAGGAAGTGTGGGCAGCCGACTATTATGGCAATGTATTAATGAATTAATGATTGTATTGTTGACGAATAGAGAAGGAAGGTTTTGTATTAAATAACTAATTGAGGTTTGAAAGATCTTTCTGTGATATAAATTGCTATGTATTTGTGCCAGAAATGTTTCCTTTTTGAAATGATACAATATATTCTTTTTAGTGCGTTCATCAACTAGTTGCCAGATTTGAGGACTAAGTTGAATTATGAATGGATGCAGGATTATACCAACCAGTTGATTTTGGGCATTGGATGAGGCCTACGGTCAGTAGTGATCTTTTTATGGCTTATATTATAATGATGATGTTAAGGCGCCTGCTTCTCGTGCGTGAAGGTCGAAACCAGACAAGTACCAATGTGACTTTTTCCGAGTTGTATGTACTTTCTATGATTATTTAGACACCACTGACAAACGGTAAAGGAAAACACCGTGAGGAAACCTGAACATATAACTTCTGATTATAAGTTTGAAATTGTCAATCCGCCTAGAGCAAGCGTGGTGATTAATGATTAAACCTTCTCTGTGTGAGAAAAGGCCATTGCTCAGCAGAGTTGATGATGATGATGATTAAATTAACTAATTAACCAACTTGTTCTATGTGAGTGTTCCACCTTCGAATACTTTGGTGTAGTAGCAGTATAAATAAATCTTTATAATTAAGGGAATGCCGAAGGATTGTGGTGACTCAGTGGTTAAAGTAAATACCTGTACTGGAGATGATGATAAAAGAGAATGTATTTTTTTTCATTCGCTCCAAAAAGGTTGTATCTACAAAAAATATCACATAGCAAAAACTATCGGAATTCAACAAGTTCTTAAGTAAGTTTTCCCTTAGTAGATAACTTATCTTGAACTTTCCCATCTGTCCGTCGATAACTCAATTGAAGTTTTACGAAATATTTCACAAGGTATATTGTTACCTGGTCGGCTAGTTAGTTAAGTATGGGAGAGCCAAGCTTCGAAACGAAGGGATCAGTTTAACCGGAGTGATACAACTGCCTGACAGCTAAACCGGCATGAAACAACCACAGCGGCAACGCACTCATAACTCCTTTGGTATCGCGGGTGTCCACGAGCGCCTTGTACACAGTTTGTGCCTTTACTAACCTTATTCATACTGTGAAACACAACATAAGCGTTGTTTCACGCCGCTTTTTCTGTGAAGCCTTTGTATGACTACAGCAAGCCTCCCATTTTTGTGCTCTCCCACATTTAAAATGGTGTTATGTTTTATTTACTGCCTTGTATTGTATTCTAACAAAACATCAAACGATAGATAGCCAACTGTTTTTACTACGTACCAAACAAAAGTGTTGTTTTTCATTTGTTTTGTGTTGTGTTTGACCTTGCGAATATATTGTATTAGATGATTGAAAAATCTGCAATTTTATTAATCTAAATAACCAGGTTTGAGTAGTACCTACCTACCTACCTAATATACATATTATGTATATATGTCAGCACGTATGGTTTCTCATGTATATATTTATTACTTATTAAGGGCCTGCGTTTGTTTCGCACGGATATCCAAGTAAATCAGTGACATTCATTTAATTTTGTTTTGTTTTATATGACGGCAAACGAGCAGGCGGATTACCTGATGGTAAGCAATCAGCCCCGCCCATGGACACCCGTAATATCAAAGGAGTTACGAGTGCCTTGCCGGCCTTTTAGGGATAAGGGTTCCGGATATTTAAGGATGGGAAGAGATGGGGGGGAGGGAGAGGGATTGGGCCTCCGGTGACCTCAACACAAAAATGAGGTTGTTTCACGGCAGTTTTCTGTGAGGCCGTGGTATCACTTCAGTCGACCCGACCCATTCATGCCACAGCATGGATCTCCCAGTTAAAATTGTTTTAGTAGCGAAAAAAGTACTTTATATAACCCTCTGCCTGAGTAAAGCATAATTACAGTGAGTATTCATTTCCAATAGCGATGCCGATTTGATTGATGTAAAGGGAAACAGTTCTACCTAACCTATATTTATGGTAGAAAATCGCCTGAAAAAAACAGTCATTCAATAAAACGTTATGCACATCTCTATCATAAACAAAATCTGCCTATTCCTTCAGGGACTAGTATAGTAAAGTACGATTGAAAACCTTATTACCATGATATAAGATTTCATCATCCATAATCTTCCAGTTTTAAAATAGAAACTAACGTAAAAATAATGGCGGAAATAGAGAAAACAAAAAAAAATATATAACATTTCGATTAAAACTTTTACTACTTGTACTTTCCTTAATACATAAAATATTTTAATACTATACACACACACTGTGTATATAATTATATAGAGGGAGTAAAGAAAAGCTGTTCAAACGATTTGTTCGATTGATATCGAAGCCTTGACCATTGGTACTTGGCATTCAAGGTTCGTAATATTGACAAGTGCGTCATTACAGTACTGAAAAGGTGGGCATACATAGAGGGCAGAAATATAATTTCAGTAGGAGCCGTACCTCGGCATACCGGCTCGACCGGAGTGATACCACGGCCTAACAGAATACCGGCGTGAAACAAGGCTTGTATTAAGGCGGGGGCCTACTTTTTCCTCCATCCATAAATCACCAATCCTTCAATTTGTAACAACGCCAAAATACAGGCTATTTTATAATACAAGCGTCTTTTGCTTACTACTTACTACCTGGAGACCCGCTTGCTAGTTTTCTACCTTATTCTATAAAACCTTAAGAATAAAGGCGTGATTGATATCACGGCCTCATAGAAAACAGGCGTGAAAGAATCACAGCGTTGTGTTTCGCCGTGTCAGTGAGCAATTCAAAATGTCCTAAAAAGTTATTTTACATTAATTGGGCATTTAAATTGAACAAAAAAGGTATTATAATTTAAAAAAAATGGCAAATTTGAAGTTGATCGTTAACCAGGTAGCCCTAACCCTAACAAATAACCCTATTTTTTTTGTGAGGGGAAAATCATTCAATTATTTCTAAAGACCCCCCGTTTTTTTCCTGCTCTGGGCCGAGGTCACGGTGCCTCAGTGCGCTAGCTCCACAACCCCGGCTGAACATCAGCTCTAAGTCTAACCGGCCCCATCTGTAGTGGTCTATTGGCTATATGACCCGCGTGCGAAAATATGTAATAAGTTATGCAAGCCATTTCGCAGCATAAACATTAGTACTCGTATATTACAAAAAACATTACGCTTATTGCATGTTATATCTTATGAGTTTATATAAAGTAACATCTACCGAATTTATATTAACCTATACCGAACACAATCCAGCCTCCATTGTTACAAAAAAGCAACTATTAACGCTTTGCCTGACTTCTTACTCGGCATTGAAGCATAATATCTGACCAAACATAATTAGTATTTTCATTTATTCTGTATAAATATTGTCAACCATCTTTACGAAACAGACTTAATAAAAGTTCATACAATGCGAACACGAATTCGTCATAAATCCTGGTGTCAGTAAATATTAAGAGTACACCAATTCAGTAGGTACTGAGATCTTTGTCATTAGAGTGTGCTGTAAACAAAACCCTTAGTGGTGCCCGAGGGAACGACAGCTGTCTCCAAGCCTCACTCCTGAACCATTAAACACCCACGTCGGCTCATAACGACAACAAAATCAACACTCAAAAAGAAACCCTAAACCAACCAATGCAAAGCCCAATATTGCTGAAGTCAAAAAGTATTACTCTGGCCTACGAATACAATTTTGACGAAAATACAAATTGAATTTTACTGAGCATTGCATAGGACTGGTTTTGAAATGGCTACCTGTAATTATATTACAGGAAATTGTATCGGAGATTTAAGTAGAAAGAGTGTTAGTGAATGGAATAAGGATTTTGGTGTTGATAACCAGTTTAAAAAAAAATACAAATTGGTATTTAATGAAATTCGATAATAAAAAATATATGTTATAATTTTGAATCACCTTGTGCTGTGGGTACGTTAAACCATTTGAACGAAATTTGACTATATTGTAGAAGAAAATGTTTACAAAACACTAGTGCAGATTAAAAATATTTTGCTGAACAATAGAAAAATATTATTTTTCATTTGACTATCAATAGGTAACTATTCTTCAGAGCGAACAACGTAACCTCGCAAACCTAATCTTTTGAAACTGTTATCTTCAAAAACGCGAAAGTAATGACAACACCTCATAAGCAGAGGAATACTTCAGTT